TTTTTTTTTTTTTTTTTTTTTTTTTTTTTTTTTTTTTTTTTTTTTGGTACTAGGGATTAAACCCAGAGTTGCTTTTACCACTGGGCTACATCCCCAAGTCTTTTTGAGATAAGGTCTTGCTAAGTTGCTTGGATCTTCCTAAGTTGCTCAAGCTGACCTCAAACTTATGATCCTCCTTCCCTAGCCTCCGGAGTTGCTGGAATTATAGGCATGAGCTCTTGTGCCCAGCTCACTGTGGTTTTGATTTGCATTTCCCTAATGATTAATGATGTTGAACATTACTTAATGTACTTGTCTACCACTCAGTATATCTTTTTTGGAGAAATGTCTATTGAGATCCTTTGCTCATTTTTTAATTGGGTTATTGGTCTTCTAATTGTTAAGTTGTAGGAGTTCTTTATATTCTGGTGCTACCCTTTCTTTTAATATTTACTTTTTAATTGTCTTTAGACACAATACCTTTATTTTATTTATTTTTGTGTGATACTGAGGATCGAACCTAGGGCCTCACCTCACGTGTGCTAGGCAAGTGCTGAGGCACAACCCCAGTCGGTAGCCTTTTACTAGATATATGATTCACACATATTTTGTTGTATAGGTTGTCTTTTCACTTTCTTAATAGTATCCTGTAGAAAACAAAAGTTTTTGATTTTGTGATCTCTAGTTTACCTTCATTTTCTATAGTTTCTGGTGCTATTCCAGTGTCACATCTGAGAAATTATTGCCTAATCAGATGTCATAAAGATTTACATCTAGGTTTTCTTCTAAGAGTTTTGTAGTTGTAGGTCTCACATTCATGTGCTTTGATTCTGAATTAATTTTTGTATGTGGTTTGATATAAGACTCCAACTTCATTTTTAGCATGTGGAAATCCAGTTGTCTCAGAACCATCTATTGATGAAATCATTCTCCCACACCCCCCATTGAATTATCTTTGGCACCTTTGTTGAAAATCAGTTGCCAACAAAACACAATTGTATGGGTTTATTTGTAGACTGTCAGTTCTACTGTCTGTGTGTAGTACCCAAAAAAAACAATTAATAATTTTGTGTCATGTTGTCATTGGAAAGAGACCTCAGCTCAGTCTGGGTGGGTTCTTAATTTTGTTACTGAAGAAAATTCCAGGATGCACTAAAAGCAAGGCACAGAAATTTATTTAAGAACAACAGAGGTGTACACATTCCAGAGTAGGGTGCCCTTCACTTCTCAGAGATGAATGCTACATCCTGAGTCAAGCTCTCTAATAATATATATATAATTTTTCTGGGAACAAGCATGGAGGTTCTCAGACAAACACTTTTGAAAATAAAGGCCCATGACAATCATTTGCTATTTGGAGATCAGAATGTTTCTCTGTTATTATGTAATCAAGTCATAAATAATTTATAGGCATATTGTGTAAGTCTTTGAATCTTGTGACATTTAAATTAATTTTGTATTTGTTCTTGTTGGCCTAAGCATAAACTGGAGGTTTCATTCATCTGACTGAAGGGACAAGTATGACTGGTCATACTCATAGATCCAAGTCTCCATACTAAGACGTTCTTGTTCTTTTTCTTTTCCCAAAAGCCCACCTACTTATATCTCAGTATGAATGTATTAATTAAAAATTACAGCTTAGGGGCTGGGGTTGTGGCTCAGTGATAGAGTGCTTGCCTAGCGTGGGTGAGGCACTGGGTCAGATCCTCAGCACCACATAAAAATAAATACCATGTATTGTGTCTAGCCAAATTTTTTAAAAATTACAGCTTGGAAGCCTGAGGTAGGAGGATCACAAGTTCAAAGCCAGCCTCAGCAAAAGCAAGGTACTAATTTATTTAGACCCTGTTTCTAAATAAAATACAAAATAGGGCTGGGGATGTGGCTCAAGGATTGAGTGTCCTTGAGTTCAATTTCTAGTATCCAAAAAAAAAAACAATTAATAAAATTTTTAAAAAATTATAAACTGTGTCTACAATTTATTCCTTTAATTTCTTTCCAACTTGCTCTTTCAGGAAAGTGTGCTGTGTTGTCATTCAAGGACTTCCTCTCCTGCAGGCCAACTGAAATACCAGAAAATGACATTCTGCTTTGTGAGAGTCGCTACAATGAGAGTGACAAGCAGATGAAGAAATTCAAGGGACTGAAGAGGTTTTCGCTCTCTGCTAAAGTGGTAGATGATGAAATTTACTACTTCAGGTGATTTTTTTTTTTTTTTTTTTTTTTTTTTTTTTTTTTTTTTTTTTTTTTTTTTTTTTTTTTTTGGGTACTAGGGATCAAACCTAATGGCTCAGGGGTGCATAACCACTGAGCCACATCCCCAGCCCTTTTTATTATTTTGAGATGGGGTCTTGCTAAATTGCTGAGGCTGGCTTTGAACTTTCGATCCTCCTGCCTCATCCTCCTGAGCTGGTGGGATTACAGGAATCTGCCACCATTCCCAGCCTGATAGATCTTAAAAAACTAAGGGAGAAAGAATATTTCAGGGGCTGGGATTATGGCTAAGCAGTAGAGCACTTGCCTAGCAAGTGTGAGGTGCTGGGTTTGATCCTCAGCACCACATAAAGATAAATAAATAAAAAAAAGGTATTGTGTCCAACTACAACTAAAAAAAAAGAAAAAACTTAATTCATATCAAAATAGTATAGCCCAGTGTTTTGAGTTTCTTAAAATTTGGTCTTAAATTAGAGCAGTATACATTTCAAATAGAAAATATTAATTCAGTTAAATATGAAAAGAAAAGCTTTATAATCTGCTAGGACCCATTAACTGCTCTAACAGTGTCCTTGTAGCTGCCAATAATTATAAAATGAAGGCAGAAGTAGTTGCTTCATATGCTCTCCGAGGAGAGTGCTCCATTCCACAGATTATGAGAACTTTTTCTGCCATGTATAGAAAACTGGTTCTGACTTTGAGCAAAATGCTTCTGTGGGTGTTCCATGGGATCCTTCAAAAACAAGCTTTTCTAAGTAGAAGTGACTTCATAAATGCTATTAAATTCATTTAATGCCTTTTAAGTATGTGACACTGCAGATTGCACAAGTCACAATAAGTGACTTATTAAAAATTGATTGATTGATTAAAGTACTAGAGATCAAACTCGGGGACACCCTATACTGAACCACATACTTAGCCTGTTTTATTTTTTATTGTGAGTCAGAGTCTTGCCCAGGCTGGCCTCAAACTTAAAATCTTCCTGCCCAGCCTCCTGAGTAGCTGTGATTATAGGTGAGCATCACTGTGCCCACCTGACTGTTTTATTTTTTTTTTAATGTTACTTCTTTCAGAAAACCAATTGTTCCTCAGAAAGAGCCCTCACCTTTGTTGGAAAAGAAGATCCAATTGTTAGAAGCTAAATTTGCTGAGTTAGAAGGTGGAGATGAGGATGTTGAAGAGATGGGAGAAGAAGATAGTGAGGTCATTGAACCTCCTTCTCTACCTCAGCTTCAGACTCCCCTGTCCAGTGAACTGGACCTCATGCCCTACACACCCCCACAGGTAAAGGTGACACATTCCTTTTACTTGTCTTGTTCTCAAGTTTGGTTTGCAGCTGGCACAAACCAAATTAAGGAGACATCCAGCCCTTCCATATATGAACCTCTACCTAGAATTCTACAGGGAGGAAAAAAAAAAAAAGATTTTTTTTTCTTTTTTCTTTTATTTATGTATTTGTTTGTTTTGTTTATTAGAAGTAGTCAAACACAATACCTTTATTTTATTTATTTTTATGTGGTGCTGAGGACTGAACCCAGGGCCTCAACATGTGCTAGGCAAGCATTCTACCGCTGAGCCACAACCCCAGCCCCAGATTTTTTTCTTTATCAATGCCTTGTATTTAATTGTTTATATATTTATTTTTAATTGACAGAACATTTGTATTTATCATGTCATTAAGCTGTTAATAATTTAAATCTTTTTTTTTTAATCTTTTTTTTTTTTTTTTTTTTTTAATATTTATTTTTTAGTTCTCGGCGGACACAACATCTTTGTTG